AGTGCTTTGAGGGAATTTATAGACCTTTCACACTCTATAAAGATGCAGAATGACATTTATTTTAAAGACTTTGAACATCTACTTCACACAATGAACCCTGAGTGGGCCCACTGAGAATTCAAACAACCGGTTAGTTTATTTTAAAATATCTAATATGTTAAAATGCATATGCATTATCATAATTATTGTTGTTGTTATTATTATTATTATTTATAATGCTGATTTTGCTGACAGTGTTTTTTTATATCTAATGTGATTTTTTATTATTGTTCACAATAATGTTTGCATAATAATTACTGTTCTGCCAATAAAATTACATTTCTAATTAAATGATTTCCTGCCTCTTTATTACGTTTGTTTTTACATTAACAGTTTTATTTTTCATATAATTCTGCTAATGAACTCACAGCTAAAATGTAAACGACATCAAATAAAATGAACTTGCTTTTCTCATGATGATATTGTACTTGATGCTATTGTGAAAATGGACATCATCTGATGGAACAGGAAGGTTGGCTGAAGTTTATTTGTTAATTGTAGTAAAAATACATATTAATGACCTTAACAAAAATACAAACACACTAAATGTTTAACTGGATAGATATAAACACCCTTCTTAAATAAAAAAAGACAATTTCAAAAAAAAAATGGATCCCTTGAGCACAACTCCACTGCCATGTCGCTGTAGAGTCCTGAGTCCTGCTCTGAGGTCTATCACACCAAATGTGCGTGACCATATCTGTCACATTGTCATCGATGGGTTATTCTTCATTCTTTAGCCAAACCGCAGAGCTGTAAATAAACTAAAAACGTTCAGGTGGCTTGCACAAAGCTCAAAAGGTTGACCAACAGCGTCATCTAGTGGCGGAATCTGCTCCTAAACCTGAGCGGTTCCACCAATCAGAAACATCTGCCATGTGGACAGAAAGGGTCTCCCCATTTTGTCCAACCATGCCTGCTGCTCCTGCGTCCTTCTCTTCAATAGAGTTAAAGCTGATGTGTACCACCAGATCCATATCCCTGCACCTCCCAGCCTTTCCTGTCTGACTGCAAACTTGGAATAGTTGATGTTCCTGTTCGTTTCCTGTTGTGGTGACCGTGTACTTTTCTAAAAGAGACGACTGCTCTGCATCCCTCATATTTATGCACAATAACTATTGACTTCCTTCCTTCTAATTGTGGGCTAATCGACCTCTCTGCTGTGATGAAGTGCAGGCCTATGAGCCCAGTCCTGAACAGTCATATGCACGGCTCTGCTTTGAACCGGTCCTCCACCACCACCAGCGTCCATTAAAACCATAAAGTAATTTAGCCCAGACGTCTAGCCAGTTAGTGGGGTTTGCTTTGTTCGTCTGCATTTGAGACAAACAGCCAAGCTCCAAACAGAAGGGCTGTAAAACTGGCATTTTCTCCTCTCCGGCCGAGCTGAGCGGAAATGCGCTGGATTGCGCTTTGAAATTACATCATCCTGTCCGCATTGTTTGCCACCACAAAAAGGCAATTTAGGCCTAACCCAGGAAACAAATGTGAGACAAGGGAAATAGTTTCTCTCTTTTAAAAGTTATCTGTTCACATTTAGTCAGCTGCTGTTCTTAGTTCTTTCTTTTGCGCGTCAGGACGCACAGAGTTTGCAATTTTTTGTTGCAAATTTAGAGTTTCTGTGCAGAAATTCAAAGAAAACAACACATGCACACGCACACACACTTGCTGTGTAAATTACAATTTATAGGCTATAAAAATTATATTGCACATGTTTTGTGCTCGTTTAAGAATGTTACAAGAATAATTTACATGAATCATGCTGATGTAGCTAGAAATGTGTGTGTGTGTGTGTGTGTGTGTGTGTGTGTGGGTGTGTGTGTGTTTAGTTTGTTTACATCATGGTCGACTTTTATTTAGATAGGTAATTTTATAAAACGCACAGATTTAAAATGTGAAAGGTGTAGACTCCAACCCTGGAAGAGCAGATTCCTGTTTGGTTCAAATATTAATATTAAAGTGTTGACGTTAATAAGCTGCTAAACTCGTTGCTGCCTCGTTTAGGCCTTTGTTTTCTCTGCAGCATGTGGCTTAGGCTGCAAACATCCACTGACCTAATTTTTCAACAATTCCTAAATGAAAATTAAATGATTTTCCTCATTTTGATGGATGTTATCAAGGTGCGTAAAGACGCAAACATGAAATCCCCAAATAATATTCAGAAAACAATCTTTGTGTGGTTACTGTTGTATTTGCAGAATACTATACTACACTCTATGGATGAACTCTACAGCCAAAACAAGAATAAAACAAAAATAGATGCACAAATACAGCAATAACTATCACAAAATACAGACGAGTCGTTCGCAGATGCGCCGGTTTTCTGTACAAAATCGTCCACCTGCACTTAAGGAAACGAACATGACCGGAAGAAAACATTCACATCATAAATTATGTTTTTTTTTTTCTTCTTCGTGAAATCCAAAAAGAATTCAAGTATTCTCTTAAACTTCGGACAGTTCATCATATTCAAAACGCGCTCTTCTCGTTTCTCTTAAAAAACAAGGAAAAGGAAAAGCAGAATGTCATCTTTTCTATAAATGTCCATTTTTTTTCTTTCTCTCTTAAACACCAGACACGGAAATTGTGCACTATAGCATAATAATCATCAAACAGTCTGGAAATTAATGCTAATACAAAAAAAAATCCAACAAAGTGACGAATATGGTGAGGAAGGGCCGGGAAGGAGGAAGGGGGGGTCATCGTGTGTTTTGGTACATCTGTGCTGTTCATGTACAATAAACGTGATTATGGATGTGTTTTTCTCTTCTTCCTCCACTGCAGTTTCCACATTATTGTTCTTTGCTGTCGTTCTTTTCCTTGTTCATTTTCTTCATCTTCATCCGCCGGTTCTGAAACCAGATTTTGACCTGCCTCTCGGTCAGATTCAGAACCCGCGCCACCTCGTATCTGCGGTCTCTTGTGAGGTACATATTGAACAAAAACTCCTTCTCCAGTTCCAGAGTCTGGTACTTTGTGTAAGGACAGCGCTTCTTCCTCGTGGAACGGGCGTGTATCCAATTGGCCACAGGGTTATCTGCAAATAAAATTTAGATTTAAAAAAAAAAAAAGGTCAAAGACAAGCAAAATGAAAACAGCCTTTGGAAAATGTTTATCTGGAGCTGCAGACATAAAAGCAATGCCAATCCTTGCACTAATTCAGAGTTCTGATGAGATCTGGGTTGGCATTGTGCGTTTTAGCAAAATATCTCAGCCTAAAGTGAACAAGCCTGCGCTGATTTGCTTTCTTGTCCTCTTAGCTCGTGAGTAACACCGTCGTAAAATACTCAGTGCGCTTATTCGCTTTATTGGCCCATAAAATGGCCCGTGGTTCAAGCCTTTACAGAGTTGTGGTGAAAGTCCTCGAGTTTGTCCCTGCATTCCTCAAGTTGGCTGAAAGAGCCATGAGAATTTGGTTCTGAGATGAGAGGGATTGTCATGTTTTTCCTTCTCTAAAGTGTCCATTTTAAATAAGAATTAAAGGAAATGAGAAGATTTCCTCACTAGGCCTATAAATGGGGGGGATGGATGCTCCTGTGGTGCCACAGGGTCTGAATATTTAGCTATAAAAGGAACATATTTTCTGCGCTTCATATTAAATTTAAGATGTTCTTCTTACATGAGCACCTTCAGGTCAGTTTGCTTTGCAACATTAGGCAGAATCGTTTCAAATTCAACGTCTTCCTGTAGCTTTGAGTCCATGTTTACAACCCCCCCGTCTGGTTTTATAGCCCCCAATATTAGCCTGGTAGCATTTGTCTTTTATAGTTCCTAAAGCTTTCGCCTTCCTAAAGCACCAGCGATTCAGAGCTGAGCTGAAAGGGAGGAAGCAGCTTATCATTTCATTTTACGCAGGACGATAAAATGCGTCTTAGGGAGGAAAAAAAAAAAAAGCAGTTTCACACAGTTCCAAAACAAGAATCCCTCCCCGCTGTTAAAAAAAAAAAAAAAGGAGCCGTCACTTACTCGGATCCAGCTCCGGCTTCTCCTCTTTATGTTTCCCTGAAGCAAGAAGCTCCGGCTCGGGAGAGGGGAGGTTCTGCTGCGTCTTGTCTCGCATGTCAGTGGATGAGCAGTACAGATAATCCGTGTACGTCCGTGCGCTGGAGCCGAGGCACTCCCCGGCTCTGTGCTCCTGGAAGGCGTCCGGCTTCAGCCCGTAGTGCCTGCTGTTCCCCGGGTAGCCGTGAAAAGGCACCGCGCCAGAGATCGGCTCCAGCCATGAGCGCACGTACCTCGAGTCTGTGCCTAGGTGCGGCTGGTGGCCGTAGGGATGGTAAACCACCGATGACTGGGAGTGCACCGGGGCCCAGGAGGTGGAGAAGACGGCGGGCTTGGGTGCGAAGCTGCAGGAAGGATAGTCCGCGCACTCCGGGACTAGAGACGTCGGACGAGGGCCAGCTGGGTGCGAACCGGGCGCGGAGAAGCGAGTTGCAGCAAGGACATCCTCGTTTTCGTGGTTGATCAAAGAGTCCACATAGTAATTAGTTATGGGACCCGTGGTCGACATGTCGAAGCCTCCCTGACTCTTTTACATGCATCCGTTTATTATATGGACTCTATGTGTACTTTTTTATCTAGCCATAGAACAATCAAGGCAGGTAATTATTTCTCTGAGCTTCCCTGGCTGCTATTGGCTGCCTCGTGGACACGTGATTATATTTACCCCACACAAAAATTATACAGTGGATCAATGCGCCACTCATTCTGGGATACCGATGCACATAAATGGGAATAAAGAATGCTTTGCTCCTTTTTCTGAACGTGTAGAGGTAACATCAACCCTAACTATTCTGTTTTTACTTTCTTGAAAAAGTCTTTATTTGCAGTTCTGCTGCCGGATCTGTGTGCAGGCGCAGTGCAGACCTGCGCACAATACACGCGAGGAACTATTTGTTGATGTAATTAATCTCTGTCAGGCAAAATCTGTGGCTCTATGCTATTGCAGCGGATACTGTTACAGCATTAAAACGTTTTATTGAGTCCATGCCTCGTTTTATCCTGATCAAACCGGCAGCAGCCTTTGATAAAGTGAGGATTTTATAACTTCCACGACGAATGCTGTTATTCAAGGGGAGCGCGCGCGCAGAACATCTAAACGCGGGGTGCAGTTTGCAGCGTTTATTAACGAGGGCCAGAAGACCAAACATTACCTAAATGGGATTTGTGGAGATAGTCGTGGAGGGGATTCCGAACCCTGACAGGCAGCCTTCTGTACAGCGGCTCTACTCGGATGGTGACCGTCCGTGGAGTTTTTATGCCCATCAATAAAGTTTAACGAGGACCATTTGATTGTTCATAAACATGTCGGTAATAAGACAGCATCCGAGATCCATGCTCAAAATAAACCCGCCACCGCTGCGTGCGCACGTGAAACAACTCGCATTTAGCCAGACAGGCCGAAGACTGCAGAGAGAGGGACTGCAGGCAGAGGAGGGCAAAACTAAAGGGTGGGTTTGTTTAAGCCATGGGAGCTTTTAATGAAATAGAAAATGTCACTGTTGTGTTTTGCAGACTGAATTGGCTGATTGAGCCGAATATAAAGCAGCTTTTCACTTTATAACTCTGTGAAACAAACAGCAGCTACAAACAGGAAAATACTGATGCACGGTTCTACTGGGGTAAATAAAGACACAAGATAAGATGGAAAACACAAGTGGTGAATCAGAGAATAAAAGCTCACACACACACATAAAACTCCACGGACGGTCACCATCCT